TATATATATAATTAATTAATATTATATTACCTAAATAATTTATTTATTTAGTTTATTTAGTCAAGTATGTTTTAACTATAATAATAAATTAATTTATATATTTACAAATCTATAATTTAAGTTATTCTGAATGTATTTCACATATGTACTGTACAGTACATACATTTAAATTTATGATTAAATTAAATTAAATGATATATTTTAGAGTATTTTACATTTATTGGAGAATTCTTTAGTTGATTGTATTATGTTATTTTAAAAAAGCTTAAGTATGATACAATTAATTGCTACAGCCTATTGATAAAATTATTGGGAAAAAAACAGATATATATATATATATATATATAAGTGTCCTTTTCAATAATTTAATAATATATATATTATATTGATATATACATAATATGACGTTATATATGATATGTTTTTCTTAGGATCACTCTTACGTCTGACTTTCAACGAGTGCTTTGACAGATGTTATTCGAAGATAATCGATCTGTACGTTGGGGATCGATAAGTGAAATTCTATTTAACAGTGGTGCCATCTGACTAGCGTCAATCGAACTATTCTTCACGAAAATCAATTGTGAAGGTGAACTAATAACATCATATTGAAGTTCCACGTGCGACGAAATATAGTACCTAAGAAAAGACTTATTTAAACGTTACTAAACTTAATAAAAGGTAAGGTTTAAAAGAAAAAATAATAAAAGATACAATATAGAATTAAAATATAGAAATTTAACAAGAATTTTCTTCGTTTAATTTTTCTGGGTTAGTAGAAGAAAGTGACATGACACGCATGCTCGAAGTATTTACGAAGCGCTTTTGTATAGGGTTCTACTGCGTTCAGAAGGACTGCTACAATTATGGAGTGAGGATGCATCAGTTAACGTTGAGTTTCGTTACAATGATTTATAAGGAGAAAAACAAAAATGTTAAAATAGATCTATAATAACAAATCTGGCTGAAATTATATCATGTGTTATGGGTTATTGACTGAAAGGAACAATGATTTATTCATTCAACGGAACAGAAGTTTATTCGCAGAATGGAACAGAGTTATATTTAATGAATGGAACAGAGTTAACAACACCACAAAGTTCTACTTCGAATAATTTTGGTATTTATGAAGTACCTGTAGCTGTCGTCGTATTGTTATCGATATGTTACGGCACTGTGTCAGTACTTACTGTGTTAGGAAATTTGTGTGTTTTGTGGATAATCGCTACGAGTCGTAGAATGCAGACGGTTATCAACTTTTTCATTGCGAATTTAGCGTGCGCTGATATTATAATTGGTTTATTTTCTATACCGTTTCATTTTCAAGCTGCTCTTTTACAACATTGGGCATTACCATCATTTATGTGTGCTTTCTGCCCTTTCGTACAAGTTTTATCAGTTAATGTCAGTATATTTACGTTAACGGCAATTGCAATAGACCGTTATAGAGCAATTATAAAACCTCTAAGGGCGCATACAACAAAACTGAGAGCGAAAATGACTATTGTTGGTATCTGGGCTTTTGCGGGTGCTGCTGGTATTCCAAACTTAATTGCTTATCGATTGGATAAAAAACCTTTTGATAGTACGATAAATTATACTCAATATCAATGCATTAATTCCGGAATTTCGGAAAATGCCTGGAAATTTTACAGTTATGTATTGGTATCTCTGCAATACTTCATACCACTTTGTGTAATCAGTTACGCTTATTGCAAAATGGGAATCAGATTAAGAAATATGAGAACTCCCGGAAATGCTGAAGATAATAGGGATGCTACCGTTACTAGAAATAAAAAGAAGGTGAGTTTCTTAAAATATTTNTTTTCGAAATTCCTTTCGCGGGGGAAGTGTTAACAATGGAAGTGATTGAGAAACAATTGAAGTGTTAAGAGAAAGCGACGTGCAAGATTTACAGGCGCAGATGCGGTTTTTTGCGTTTTTGCGAGAAATAGAACATATTTTTAGACACATCTAAAAATTATCTAATTAGTCTGGAAACAGGGCAACCTAATTCTTGCATTCTGAGAAAACGGTTAAGATTGGCTACAACGTAATAATCTTAATTTTCGTTATCGTTACTTTTTGCCCGAGCAACTCTGGGCTTATCTGCTAGTAGTAAATAAAATACTGTAAATTAGTAACTTGAGTAAGTTTACTTTCTCGGCTATTATAGCATAAACAGAAATTTGACATGCATTTGACTGAACCTAGAACAGTCCAAAAGAAAGAAGAAAACAATACCGTGGATGTGTGCTTGTATGGCGAATTTAGTTTAAAATCTCAATATGGTGTAAAGATTGAGAAAAGAAAATTGGCTTGGTAACTTGCATATAATAAACATTTATACAGTAGACCCCCATAAAACGGGTTCATATAATTCGGATTCGTATATAACAGCGAAAAAATTGCGACCGTATTCGTATAAACACGCTAAAAGAGACTCCTATATAACGGTAAAACGTCATTGTCGACTCGTGTCGCGACAGGATTGGTCGAATCTAGACCAATAGCGGATATTGCAGAAACCGTTGAGTTTAAACCAGCAACGGACCTACTAAAAACCATGTATTATTTAACGTCCATAAAAATTATATTTATATTAATTAATGATGTCTCTAAAGTTTAGCGAATTTTTCGCAGAAAAATAACTTATCAGGAAACATGAGCCCGCCGTTCGATGCGCCGCTCCACGACGAAAACAAGCTTAAGCAATGGCGTCGTCGAACGGTGCGCACTCGGTAAGTAATCCTACAATTTTTTTGTTTATAGCATAGTTTATATGGATTATTCCCAAAAATTATATGTGTTTTGGAAATGTTCAGTCAAATTAGTCTAGAATCGGTTAATTTTATTCTAGCCGTAGTCCGTAAATTGTATACGTGCCGGGCTGTGATTGGCTCATGTATTTAAGGACTCGTAGAACATCAATTTCATAAAGAACAGAACGTATCTACCGTGTTATGGGGGGGTCGACTGTACTGTTAAATTTTGGAGTATGGAACTGAAGGGGAGATAGAGGAGGTCGTGTGTCATATTTCTGCTATGACTTAATGACAATTTTATTCATATAACTTTTAAATTGTTTTTAAATAAGGAAGGCTTTAAAAATATTTCAATTATTACAAAATTAATGAGAAAGGTTTGGTTTTATTAAATTTTTCCTAAATGGGACCCCAAATTAAGAAAATAATAATAATCCAGCTGCTGGAAATTTTAGTTGAAATATTATACAATATTTTTAGCTTGTACCTAATTTACTACAATTAAAATATGTAAATATGTAAATAAGGATATAGTTTAATATTTGTATCAAAAAGCCATTTATAAATCAGACAGTATTTTTGATATATTTTATTGTTTAGTTTTAAAATATTTTAAGAGCAAGAGTGTCAACGGCATCTTAATATACATCAAAATAGAATCAATATATATTATAAAGGTAAGTGTACAATGTGCTGCCGCTAAAACTCAAAAACGAGTCCCGGTACGATCAAGGGAGTTATATGGTGTGGTAGCTTTCTATCCCGCATCCATGAAGAAGGTTCCCGTTTTTACCTGAAGGGCGTGCTGTTGAAGATAAAAGGCTGGACGTTTCGCCCTCTAGAAATTTCTAGAACAGTCCAGAACATTCGAGAGTATTCGAGAGCATTCCACAACATTCCGGAATGTTCGGTGGATGTTCTGGAACGTTAGGGAACATCTCGGAACATCCCAGATCATTGTGGAACATTCCAGAACACTCCTAATGTTGTGGAATGTTCTGGAACATTGTGGACCATTCGAAGCGTTTTTTGTATGGGTGGGACTACCCATTGGTGGGGATATATAAAGCAAGATCCGTCGTGGGTTCGAACGTCAGTTTCTTATCAGTGACGAAGGGAAGAACCGAAAAAGAAGTGAAAATTCCAAAGTAGTGCAGTGAGTGAATAAAAACAAACTGTGAAGTGTGAGTATTCAAAGCGATACAGTGACTGAATATAAATCGAAAATAAAGTGTGAAAACTGTGTAAAGTGTACTTAGTGTATTTGTTAATAGCAAGTTGATTTGATTTATATTGTATACAATGTCCAAACTTAAATGAGGAAAAGCTCTTGCCAGTTCTGAATTTTCTTTTGAATATTACCGGGAATTTTCGTTTTAATATTAAAGTTGATATCGTCGACAATATTATTTTTAGTTCTCAGAATTGCTCTTTGAAATAGCCACTCCGAATAATAATAAGAAGTGCAGAGCCCAAACGGTTAGCAGTTGAAGGTTGAAATTTGGTACACAGTTAGGTTGCGTCATAAGAACATACAAAGGGATTTTTCGAAATTCCCCCCCCCCNAATAACTTATACGGGTTATGAAATATACTAGATCCTATATTAAATCATAAGTATCGTTTTTTATTGACATATTAAATTGCATCTCCTATTGATTACATTCTTGAACCGAGAGTTCGTGTGGACTCTTCTGCTTGTAAATCGAATGAAAAGGAGCAATTTATTTTTCCATTTGGTAAGTTACAACCTTTTTGATAGGTTGCTGGTGATCCTTTCATTCTCACATGTCGTCAGACAAAAACAATTGATAAAACTCTGCCGGCAAATTGATAGTTCTAGATATCAACAGCACTTTCAGGATGGCGAATTGATTCACATTCTACAATATATTATAATACAGAAAATTTTAAATGAATTTTCTAACATATTTTGCTAATTTGATATCCTTCTGTATTAGTATTAGATGTTCAGATCTTCTATCAAATTGTTTAAAATAATAACGGAGGGTGCGTTTTTCATTTCCATCAGTAAATTTTCGTCAATTCCTTTAATAATTCTATAAACATGCTGGTAGAAAACATGAAAAACAATATTGCGACGATTATATACGAAAATATATTTTAATTTATAGAAAATAAACCTTTGTTTATAGTTTTGAAATGAAATATCTATAGCTATAGTCAGTGCTAAACATAATGTAAAATATAGAGCCTGTTTAACTCCCTGATTCTTAATCATTAGATTTGACTAATTAAAGAGGTTTTTTTTTTATTTAAAAATAAAAATTTAAATTACATTTTGGTTAATCTTGGATAACATATTTTAGTTTCATATATTACATTAAACTTTAATTGAATTATAATTTTATTATGTTTCTATAGAGAATTACATATTCTAAATTATATTTCTGTAATTTTCTTCAATTACTTCTAAGTAGAACCAAACGTATATTTTATTAAATAAAATCGAAATGTTTGTTTCCTTATCTTCTTTACAGAAAAAAGAAAATTGTCTATTTAATTATCATAAAAAAATGTTTTTATTAGAATTTAGGCAGAAATATAACTCCGCATTTTTAAAAATTTCGTCTGTTTAAGTAATTAGATTTTAATTTGAAAAATTTAGTTCTGTCCAACAACCTCCATATTTGTTACATTGTCTAAATGCCTGAATGGATATATAACATTTGAAACTTTTTTATCTGCTAAATTGAATTTCATTCAATCATTTAACTGTGTAAAATGAGAATAAATAAAATGATAAATACTTACTATTTTTCTTCTTATCCTTCTTCTTCTTCTCTTCATATACAAATATGGTTTCTATTCTATCAATGGATATTCAAATCTCCTTATAAGAAAGTAACATTTATTCAGTGAAATACATTAATATAGGGTAAATGAAAATAGTAATAAAATTTTTATTAGTGAAGTAAAATTCGTGACTTTCTTTCATATTTTTATAAAGTTAATACTATCGATTTTTTTAACTGGTACCAATTACATATTCTGTACTTAGAAATGTATCCCTTAGCAGTATATATTTTAGTTTCGAATAAATTCAATTTTAAATTTCAATAAAAAATTATAATTTAAATTGAATGTACTTTCCATTCATCTAACTTGTTAATTTAGGATTTAAGTCTTTCCTAATTTACAAAGTAATTTAAAGTGATACAGTAAAAATGTACTACAGTCGTTCTATACTAAATAAAGAATAGTATCTATATTTAATAGGGCCAAATGATAGATTACATATAAAAAGATTGAAATTTATGAAATATTCTAGGCGAAAAATATTGTATAAATATGGATTTTTTTAAAATTTAATTTCATATTTTTCAATTCTTATATTTTTTTATGTTGCTTTTGAATATTTTATTGATATGTTAGTTCTTTTTCTATAAATTAATTACGTTAAGTGAAGTTTTTAAGTTTTAAAAAGTAAAAGGAACAACATTCACAATCAACATCTTCATGTATTGATTGTGAATGTTGTCCCCTTTACTTTTTAAAACTTAAAAACCTCACTTAACGTAACATATTATACGTAATCTATATATATATAATCGATGATCATATATGATAAAACGTTACTTGTGTAATATCTACTCTTATTATTCCGACGTTTATTGTTCCTAACACGTAATGTTCTGTAGCCATATTTAACTAAATTCACTAGAAAACTTTCTTGAAAATCTCTTCATAATTAATGAATTTTTTAATTTTTTCTTTTTACAAGCTAACAAAAATTGTTTGAAAATATTCGATAAAAGAATACTTAAGAATGGAGAATTTAATCAAAACTGTAATATTTATTTCGTTTGTTATACTATAAACTAATATATTTATGTCTTTTAAAAATTTAAAAAATAACAGAATTGAAAAACTAACATATTTGTGCTGGATTTATAACAGAGAAGTAAGTTGCATTTTGTTTAAATATTTGTGTTAGTTTAGCTCTTCTGTACATAAATATTTATATTTGAAAAGAAAACACGAAGGAAAACGAATGAATTTTTAAATATATAACATATATTATAAATTGAATAAACTAAACTTTTTATAGTAAGTGTCTTAAGAGAGAATTGCTTTGAATTGTGCATTAGAGATAACAAAGATTAGATTGCGTTAAATCCTAATTTAAATTAAAAATTAAAGTAAAGGATAATGTAATATAATTTATATATATATTCATTTATTTCATTATTTATTTATACATTATTTGAACTTTTTAATTCTATATATTTGGATATATGTTTATTGAAAATTTTTTATATTCATTATATAAACTGAATTTCTATAGTAAAATTTAGTTTTTTATATAGTCGTCATGTAATAAAATTATGTAGAAAATAAACCAATATTGTAATATAAAGATATTAATAAAACTAAGAAGCATAGACTTTTTTTTTAGTAAATTTGTTGGTGATATTTCTTTTATTTTAACATAAAATAATTATATAATCGTTAATTGCAACATTTGTTATTGCTAAATGATCTGTTAAAATAAAATTAAGATTTTACTTTCGTAGCTATTAATTAAGTTATTTTT